TGACTAAAAATTTTATTTGGCTTTATGACTATGATATTCTTTCAGCTGTTAAACGTGCAAAGAACGGTAACATTACGAACACCATAAAATATGGAACCTGTGACTGTCAATTTTCAAGCATTGCTTATTGCAATGACATAATTATAAGCGGCCACGAGTAAATATTTATTTTTAAATTTCGTTTAATGCTTATTTCTATTTTTTTTACAAAAATTCTTGCAGAGATGGTAGTATTAAACATTGGAGAGTTGGATCACGAAAGAACATTAATCTTGAACAATTAAAAACACATTTCAATGTATATGGTGAATACGTTTCGAACATAGAAGCAACAACGCAACATATTATATCAAGTTCTTCAAATTTAATAAAGGTAAGATTAAGAAATTTGGAATTATGCTATGTTAATGTAGAATGTGAAATGTAAAAAGTCCGTTTTTGTTTAGATACAGAAAAATACATTTGAAGATGATGATTCTGCGGAAGAAAACGAACCAATTTATAAAGGCAAGAAATTGATTCAGTCAATTTCATTAGACTCTACAGAAACAAAAGTTGCTGCTAGTACCGAAGAATCGTTTCTAATTTATGATATTGGTGCAAAGTAAGTTATGTGTCAATTAATTAATCGATATCTACAAATATTTAATTAAACGTTGACTATGGTTATACAGACGCTATTATATGATCCGATTTAATAATTATAATTTGTAATTATAACTTAATGAGCTATATAACATTCTGGTGTGAACCTTAAAGAAGCGGTTTTGGCCCACTGTGGAAAAGAGAAAACTATATTAGACGGGAAGTTCTGTCTCTGTCGTTTTTCTTCGTTTTTATATCGCCCACCCATAACAGTAGTACATGTGGAAGGAAAACAGATAGTCCTCTATTGCATTCCTTTGGCCGCAAACTACATATTAATTCTTACAGGAAAGGCTCACTCCAGTATATTATATAGTTTAATGACAAGAGAGGAGTTTGGTCTTCTTTCTCTAGTCTTCTAGGTTTTCACGTATATTTGGAATAATATGAAATGAACTAATGTGATGGTATTTTAGTTGTCTGGTAATGGATGAACGTATAAATGATAATACTTGTTCACAACTACTTTGGGAAGATCCTCACACTATTCTCATGCTGTATGAACGTCAGATTCAAAAAATGGATACAAGGTAATGGATCTTATTGTTGACATTAATTGGCCATTCAATTTAATTATATTTGCTACTGTGATTTTAGAACACTCAAATTAGTACGTACATGGGATGCTTTTGTCTTAAATAATAATCCTAATTTACATAGTTTCTCTTCAGATTATTTGTATACTATTATGACAGGGACTAATATTGGTTCAGTACTTCTATGGGATCAAAGATTCAATAATTGCATTCAGGTTTGTATAACTTTTAAATTTTATGTGTCTTGTAATGACCTTTATTAATACCCTATTGTTAACTGTCTTAAAAATTTTCAGACGTATCAAATATCTTTTTTAATCTTTTCCGTTCCAACCCTATCCTTTCTGTGCAATTTGATAGCACCCATATGTATGCTACTACAGAACTACGAGATGTGATTCAACTTAATTTTAGGGATCGAGTCACTTTTAACAGCGCTCAAAGGAAAGAGTATTTTAGCAATTTTATTTAAATAAAAAAACTTGATTAACAATTTTTCTACTACTATGCTTTGATTGTTTACATAAATTTTATACTTAATGTCATGAAACAGAAAATAAATGCTATATCTTTGTGTGTAATATGTCTACTTCAAAAATCCATATTTCTCAAAATATAACATTAGCGTGTGCAAAATTTATTTGTCCGAAACAAAAAGAATATTTTTAATCTTTTGCGTTTGCAATTAATTCAAAGGCAAGCATATCCAACCCGTCCAAAATAAACAACGTCTAAGTATTTATAAAAATAATTTTAAATAAAAACAAA